GGCTACATGCTATAATCAGCTACTCAAAATGATCAAAATATCAAAAAGTATTGCATATCTGATTTAAATTGGATGAACCGGTCTAATATACTGGAGATAAGCATTTATTATATTGTGAAAGCATTTATAATTTAAGCATAATTGACACTTAAATAGATGAATTCCCAGAAAATAGCAACCAAGATTGTGCTGAAAATTACTATAAGCAGTTGCATTTGATATGTATATCATTGGCCAGTGGTTTTTCAGCTGTATAATGCAGCCTGCCGTTAGTGAAATCATTATGAAAATACCAGATTTCAAAGATTTGTAGTTTTTGATATTTTTGTTTATTTATTAGATTCTGCTAATATAGTGGTTTTCTATCACCTTTTTCTCTCTCTTCCTTCTTCTACTTTCTCTCTATTTTTTTCATATATATAATAATATTATTATTTTTTTTTTTTTGCTGAGCAATCGGATTCCTAAAGAATTAAATTATCGATCAGTCAAAATTGCTACTACAATAGCTGGGTGTGTTCAAATATATCTGCGAAATGCTTCCGATGACCATCTTCTAATTTTTTGAATTAGTGTTAATTGGATACCTCGTAAAACTAACTCTGTAAACCTCCAGCCTGGAAGCTATATCCTGCTATATCAGCACCTGGCAATAGCGATTTGAGATAATTTGTAAACTAGCATTTTGTAGTAAGATTGCCATCTGACCTGACAAATAATGTGCTGCACCCTGGTGCATATGTTGGGTCAGTTTTTCAAATGATATATGCTTTGAGCCCCCAAATTGAACATAATTCATCATTTGTATAATAGATTATCAGAGTTGGGCATTCAGTTATCTTATGATTTTTGGTTCTCACTAATTGGATAGTTGCATATGAGTTGTTACATGCCCTATCGAACTGCAATGCTTTTATTACTGGGACTTTTGCTATGTCTTGCTGCGATCAAGAGAGAAGTTTGCCTAGGCAGACTAAGCTATAAAATGCAACCAGAGCCACAACCCAAAACAGCAAGTTATTTGACTCAGAAAAGTTTAAACTGCTCCATAAGTGGCATATGTGATCTCTTGTGATGTGTTCCTTCTGCTGCATTGGTGCAAATATGTGACTCCCTTCTATAGTCTTTATTAATAGGTCATAGCATATTTCTTTCTACTCTATTTGATTCACATTGTGATGGTAGTTGAGAGCAGATAAATATGATACTATGGTTTGCGGTACTACTTTTAGATATAGATGTGTTATATATTTTATTAAATTTACTTTTGATACTGGCCACATTAACCTGTCTTTATTAACCTAGTTATTTGTATCTGCTAGTTGTTGGTATCTTTTAATAATCGCGTTATAAGTTTTATGTACTACAGGTTCAATGCCTAAAATTTTGGCTGCTTGTTTGTCTAATACAATGTTGTGTCCTGTTGGTAAAGTTCTTGTTCTTGGTGTACTTTGATTGCATAGTGGGTAGGTTCTAACCCTCTGCCCTACTGAATTAGAGAAGGAATAATGGATATTAGATTAGTAAAGTTATACAGAATTATAGGCTGAAGAAAACTGGCATGGGAGAATTTTGCTAAATATTCTCTGTGATGTGACTATTACAAGATAATAAGTCAGCCTCAACATTATTTTTCCCTGCTATATATTCCAGTTTTATAGAAAAGTTTTCTTGAATCTGAGCTATATACATTTCTGCAATTACTTTATTAATTTCTGGGTTCTTGCAGGCTCCTGCATAAAACACTTCCACATTGGACTGATTATCGGTCCACATAATTAACTGCTTTCGTGTTAGTACTGAGGAGAAGGTAAGAATTGCTATCAGGCTAGTAAAAAGCTTACGCAATTGTATGCTGTGATCTGTCATGTTCATGTGTCTCAACCAATTAAATGTTGTGAAGTATGTGTTATATATTGCTCCTTTGCCCATGTTGGATGCATCAGTGTATAGGTTCTGTATATTAGGCTGCAACCATACCCTATCTTCCATTAGATATACTCCAGACTATCCAGAAAGAACATTCAACCACCATGTTATATTTATCTTCATTATGCTTGTGATTTTTATATGTATTTTTGGCTCTTGGTGCCCTCTAACACTTTGATAAACTGTTGTACAAATGGTTTGTCTTGCAGCACCACTTGACAAATCCATATCATTGAACTGACTAGTGAGTGTAGTTCTTTCCTGAAACACCACTTATTCTCTTTCTATTCTGTTAGCATATTGAGGATTTTTTCTTTCTTTGTTTCTGGAATCAACACTGATAATTTAGTAGTGTTAATTCTGATACCCAAAAATGTAAGTTCCATACATGGGCCTTCCAACTTTGACTGCTTATATGGGACGTTTAATATTTTTAATATATGAAGAAACTGATCTAATTCTCACTTAGCATTATCTCAAGATATAATTAAGAAGTCATCTACATAATGTATAATCAACCTTATCCCCTGCCGTACTGCAATCCACATAATCATGTTCATGAATTGGTAAAATATGCCAACTGATACTCTATTACCAAACGCCAATGCTTTATCGAAATAAATTCTGCTCTCATTTTGTAAACCTTGTAGAATCTGATCAACTGGATGTACCGGTAGTATATAGTATGCATCTTGTATGTCCACTTTGGACAACAGGCATTCTTGGCCATACTGTATTATCCATCCAATCACATAGTTCAAGTTTTCATATATAGTTGCAAACTTAATTATGTCAATACCATCGTTCATACTTGCTCCAAATAGTGCTGACAAGTGTGATATTACCTGGTAAGCCTTCGGATTCATATCCTTTTTTCTACTAATCCGCAAGGATTGATTTAAAATGTGGAACAGGAAGGACTTGACAAAAAAAATGGACCGCACATACACCCTGCTATTTTTTTACTTATATTTCCTTTAAAGGCCTCAGGTGCTATATTAATTAACTTCAAGTTCTCTTTATTATTGTTGTTTGCTTGCCAGCAAAGTCAAACCAATATCCTTGCTTTATTCCATTACTTAAATATTGAACAAATTCGCGATTCAGGTAATTATGTGTCAAATATTCAAATGCTAATTTATTTATAGGTGTAGTTACAGTAAAGACTGTTGGGTTTAATTGTGCTATGATTTTAGCTTCTTCTTGTAAAAGTGAATTGTATTTGGGTGGAATAGCTTCAATTGATTAACAGACTGCAGGCTAGGTTCCGTACATGCTGTGATTGCCCTTGATGCTTTGAACTGTGCCAGATACCTAGTATAGAATTTCCAAGTATGACTTTTTACAGCTATTAAGTATGAATTTGAGTTAGTATCATTTATTGGTGTAGTTGCACTTTATATTATGTGATTGTATATATGAATGCCTTTCTTATTTATTTATTATTTCGTATACATATATATATATTTCTTTTTTTTTTTTGCTATACAGTTAAACCCTCATGTTATGTCAAACACCATTAGCTCTCTTATAGTCTCTTTACACTTGATACTTATTGTTCACCCTTTGGTGAATTGTTCTTTACTGCATTACTAAATCTGTTTTTGTAGCTTTTCCTATAACAGGTTCTTTTGTTATGGCCCAATTTCTTGCACACTAAACATGCGTAGACTCTTCAACATGCTTTATCTTTAGAGCATGATTTTTTATTCCAATTTAAGCATATTTTCTTCCCATCTATGTGGTGTCAGCCCAGCCTGAGCACCCGTATTCAATCCTTGGTCTTCTAGCTGTAAATGCATCGAAATTCTTTCCTTCAGCTTCAATATCCCGGTCAAGCAGTGTGGTGTTCCAATTCATAATTAACACAATTCTTTGGTCTTCATCGTAGCCCAATACAGCTGAAAAGTCATACTTGATGCTTAACTCGTTTATGTGGTCTCTGTATATATTCAATTCCTGCTCTCGATTTTCATACAGCACCAAAACTGCATTCATGTAAGCTTTGAATGCCATCAGCTATTCTGATATGTTTTGCAACATGCCGCCCCATGTGCGCTCCTTATTGATATTGCTCCTCTGTCTAATGCTTGTAAAATTGTGTCCTAAGCCAAGCCATATGCTTCACATTATCAATCATAATTTTGTGCAAAAATTCTTGAATATTTATGAATGAACCAAAAGCTAGTGATTTCCAAATTTTGTTAGTCAAACCTGGCTTCTGTGGGAGCATTTCAATCATTTTCTGGCCCTCACTCCAGTTTGACACCCACCACAGCCGAATACACTCAATTTCTACAGCCTTTGGGTTATTCAAGCCTTGAACTGCAGGAATTTGCTTAATTTCAGAGTAGTCGATAGCTGGAAATTTTCTCGAGGTTACTTTAAGTTTCACAACACTGGTCCTTTCTTGCTTCTCGTTGCTTTGGGCCACCATGTTTGCTTCAATAATTAATCTGTTGAGTATTGGAGTTGAGGGATAATTACCTTCATTCATATCTACGTTACTGCCTGTACTTGCTATACGAGTGGTTTCCTGATTATGACCGTGTAGATGTTGTATGCCTGGTGAGTTCTCCATATTGCCCAGGCTATTGCCGTCAATTTCGTTCCTGCCCATATTAGCCTTTTCTAGCTGCTCAAACCTTCTGTTGAACATTTCAAATTTCTGATCCATGTATTGACACATTGATTGTACTATCAATGCCGTAGTAGCTTAAATCATTGTATCTATATATGATTTCGCTTGTGGGCTTAGTGGGTCCTCAAAGTTGTTCCTGGCTACTAGATAGCTCTGATGATTCAATTGTTTCCTCTGATGTCCTTCTTTTGGGCTGGCTAAGTTCCATAGCTTTCCTCAGCTTTTTGCTCATTACGAAATGGTTTGCTTCATGCAGCAAAAATGGCGGCTCTTTGTGCAGTTGCTGTAGTCACCACCTATTTCTACTCTATAGTTTACCTGCTTCAGTCCTGGCTGGGAGTTGTTAGTGATTACCATTATTGGAAGGTGATTTTACATCATACCTACCTACATTTGGTTTCCATATGAACTTTGTAACACCGTATCGATTTTTCACATGCTCCAATTCTTAGCTGCATTGGGCTCGTGATAGCCCGGCCCCCGAACCTTGCTTAGCCATCTTTTCGATCTGTTGACTACGCATACGCCTGTATGCATGTCAACCCGAATGAAAATCCCGATCTACATTTTCAAAATTTCAAAACAATCTAATTCTGGTCAAATTTGCAGATTGCTTGGCTGAGTTTTAAACTCATCCCAGTAGGCCAAACGATCTGCAAATTTGACCAGAATTAGATTGTTTTGAAATTCTGTATTGAAATCATCGACAAAAAATTCTCGTCTTTAGTATCATACAATAAAATACCTTAACTGTCGCACCAATTTAGATTCATAATTTTAATTAGCTAAATGCCGTGGTCTACAAAATTTCGACCCGCATTATACAATTGCTACGTAATTTTTGGCCGGAATTAAGTTT